AACCGTGATGATTCTAACCTGAAATTCAGGCCCTAATTTAGAATAGGGCCTGACACAAACCTGTCTAAACCGTGGGACGCCCACATGTTATTTTTAGACACAGTCATACAATATGATTGACAAGTGTTGTGGATTTCATTGCACGAAAATAAATACGAAAAGTATAAAGATATTCATTTCATGCTGGATTATTTGTTTTTATATTCTCATGAACATGTCCGCAGAGTGTGCATTTTGCTTTTTAAACCTAAAAATTCAAGGTACTTTTAAGAGTTCAGTTTCTCTATTTAATTTAACCGAACAGCAAACAAAGATTTAGTCAGTTCTGTGCAAGGACTGAATGCAAATAGTTTTGTTCTCTGCGATTGGAATTAAAGTGCGTCAAGAAAATACGCTAAAGTCATTTGTTTCATCATTAAACGAGGGATCTAAACAGACGGCTTGAATACCAAGCTTTCTCCAGGTCTCAACCTGCTGGACGCGGACATACTATTTCTAACGGGATAACAACAGCAATAACGAAATTCTTTATCGTACCATGACGAAGGTGATATAGCTCAGAAAACAACGCCGGTAGGACTTGATAAATAAGACTTTCGCCGAAGCCAGTTGGCAGAACGGCAAAGACATCTTGGGCCTAGGCTGTCAACAACAAGCTTTCGAACACACGACTCTTGCTGTTCTTTCAGCGTCGTGTGTCCAAACTTCGTCGAAGATTTTGATAAAGCCCTTTCAAAATAATGCGTGTGTGTTTGATTTATTTTCTGCCATAAAGCATATTAAACAAAAGAAATTCGAAGAAATTCGACAATACTATTACGATAATCACAATGGAATTTGATACATGCGTGTTTGACCTTGTCACATTGACCGAGCTATTTATAAAATATTGTTTATGTGAAATTGGGTTATCGTTCCATGTTTCGCGCACCAATATAAGTTAGGGTTAGGGGTTAGGTATTAGGGTTAGGTTAGGGGTTAGGTTTAAGGTTAGGGTGAGGGTATGTATATACGTGTATGGAGGTATCCAGTTAACTTTTCAGTACACTATAATATCCATTACATAACGTTTACTATATTGGTGTGCGAAACATGGAACGATTACCTGAAATTGGAACCAATCAAAATCTTTCAACCAATCAGATTTCCCATCCACCAGATGGACGGGAATCCCACGGTTTAGATAGGTTTTGTGTCAGGCCTATTCTAAATTAGGGCCTGAACTTCAGGTTAACATGATTCACATATAGCATACTATACCATATACCATAGAGTACCAATGTAGGGGTACTGAATGGCTATATTCAGCTAGGATTATATAGTTTGCCTATGAGCAGGCTCTTTTAGTCCATGTGGTTGGAGAGCATACAATTTTCAATCAGGAAACACCGGAAAGAACATGCAGTTATTAATAAATTCATAATATCTGAATAACTGAAACACACCTTGTATATATGCTTCCACAATACCGTATGTGATTAAAAACCTTTTTTAAAACGGTTACACTTTTGTTCAAAAGTGTTGTCTCAATGCTGCCGGAAAATGTTTCACTTATTTTATAGACAAAATCATCAATTTTCCAGTCAACAATTTTCCAGTGAATGGGAGTGTGGTTTGATGGAAGTGCTCGCCTACTAAAACTTCCTATGAAAAAACTGGTGGTAGACTAAAATGCTTGTATAAATCCCTGCTAATACTCAGACTATAAGCCCTGGGCTTATACACTTTCATAAGCGATTTTTGATAGGCTTATACAAGAGGGAGCTTATATACGGGGGGGGGGCTTATACATGGTCAATCTTTGGTACGTTAGTAATAAACAAGTCCGACATAAACAAGTCAGTCATAAACAGGAAAATAAACATGTATTATTAAGCAGTGATTACTGGGCTTATATTAATTCAGGGAACTTATATTCGGGGGGCTTATATTCAGGTGGGCTTATATATATAGGGGGGGCTTATATTTGGAACAAGGTTAGCGTTAGTACATGTGGTGGGCTTATTCACGTTGGGGGGGCTTATAGTCGGAGGTTTACGGTATGAGTGTATTTGTGTACACATGCATAATACCACTCTAGCTCAGTTCTATATGCCAATCCTGGAACAACACCTTATGGGGGTTGAATAGGTTTTCGGATCGTCTGATTCTGTCGAAAAAATTGTTCGGATTTTGGATCTAGCGAATATTTTACACAGATTTACGGATCTTATTAATACAGTGGATTGATAAAATATTTTGGCTCAGATTGCGGATTTTGCCTGCAATTTAGATCGGATCCTGGATTGTGAGTTCATACTAGAGCTTTTAGGGGATCCAAATTTAGACAAGACCATTGGTACGATTGGTGGATTTTGCTTCAAATTTGGGCAGACTGGCGGATTTTCTAGCACTCCATTCACACCACACCACACCACACCACACCACACCACACACCCCTATGCAGAGCATGCAAAGAATAAGTATATGAATTTGATTTGAGTGTTGAAAAAACGATATACTGTTTGCTTGATTGTTTTTAACATAATAATATGATGTACAATCATTTTACACTCAAAATAAATTTCATATTATTGGATAAAACATATTCTATTCCCAATTAATTTATAAAAAAAAAGAAATTCTAAACCATGTAAATTACCTTCACTCGTAATGTACAATCTTTATCTTTTGTAAGCTTCTCTTCAGCCAAGCTCCTAATGATGTCAGCAAACAGGCTCTTCATTGCCAATGTCTGCTCCTGATTCATGTTCTGTAGCATCTTCGATATCCCATTCTCTAAATTCTTCATCATTGTCTATGTTATTGCAAAATTCAAATGAAGCATACACCTGTTGAGGTGTTGTTTGAAGGGTTGTTACTTGCAAAATATGACTAACAGCGACCTCGATATTTCCAGCCGCAATACTTAAGGCTTCCTGTATCTTATGATCATCTACTTGTGGAAACATGTCACATAGGGTATTATAATTCAGTTGACAGTTATTATCAGATGATTGAGAACCGGCCTGACTATCTACAGTGACACTGACAGGCACGTTGTTTCTATTGCCATTGTCTGAGCATAAATCAACCGGAAAGCTCGCTCCTTGCGAACTTGTGATTGGAGTGTCAATTTCAATTGGTAGATTATCTTCGCTACTCAACTTTCTTGACTTTGGTTCACTTTTTTCCTCTGTTAATTCATCATATTTCGACAAATCATCACCAGAACTGTCATCAAACAGGCATCGTTGTAAAGAAGCCATTGAGTGGTCAAACTCTTGACAGAGGAAGAAAGTAATTCGGTGGTACGGTTTGTTGCACTCCATCTTGTACTTATGCAATATAAAATCCTCATCAGTCTCTTTTAGTTTTGAAACCTTTGAGCCATCAGGATATAGCATTACGTACTTAGCATTGGGCTTAATAAGATTTTTGGAATGTGCTTTGTGTTTGTTGAGGGCAGCGTTAAGAAGATCATCCGTATTGGAAGATTTCTTCAAAGATAGCAACAGCGATTTGCCACGTTGATTCTTTAGTTCTTGGCCATCATAGAACATAATTCCTACATTTATCTTAACAGTTTCATTAGGATCCTCGTTCGAAACAAGTTTCCTTTTTGCAGCTTTGCTTCTGGCGGAAGGACGAAAATGCTTCCCCCTTTCTCTCTCCCTACTTGCTTAAAAATCGCTAAAAGATAGTGGAAGTTGTTTCTTTCTATTAACGGTCTTCTTGACTTCATCTTGAGATTCCGAGCGATTAACTTTAGTGCCACAAGTAGGGCAAAATACATTTGTTTCGTGAAGTTCCTTTCCACAAGATGAACAAAACATGGCAACTGTAAAATGGCGCCAAAAAAAATGTGCTTCTTGTTCCCTTGGTGACAATGCTTCCACTTGGCTGACTTGGCATTTCCTATATTACGTTAACCTGCGATTTGTGTAACATGAGCTACACCTTTGAGTTTACTATATGAGTAAATTGTCAAAATACGTCCGAAATTATCAATACAGTAAATTCTCAAATCCACATAAAACCACAAGCATTAGACAAAACTTTTGTTATAAATGTAATCGCACTAAAAATTAGAAAAAAAGGTCACCAAGTTTAGATTAGTGTCAGATGAAGATTAGGATTAGATTAGGGTTAGATTAAGATTATGTTAGGGTTAGCTCAGCATGTGTCGCCAATTTATTGTATTGAATTTCGGACGTGTTTAACAATTTACTCATATAGCAAAATTCAAAAGTGGAGCCCATGCTGGATTTGTAAAATATAGCCTGATCTCTGGTTAACACCGCCTGGTAAGAAATAAGAACAACCTCGTGCCCAGGGTCTTCAGGCAGTCTGGAAAAAGAACTCACTTAAATAGACGTCATCGATCAGGTCTCAACGCTAACAGTTTTCATCGTATCGTATCGCTACTCAAGTTATCAGCTCATAAAACAATACTATTAGTATTCTCTAAGTCTAATATTAGGCCAAATAAAAAAAAATATACTTGGTTAGCGTCACACTCTCACAAATTCTCAGAGGCGGGCGGGTTTATTTAAATTTTTACTCGTTTTTAAATTTTTAATAGTATTTGGGGATGGGGGCGGTTTTCTTACCACATCGGTGAAATTTTTTGTACTGATATTGCGAAGGCCGCCATTTTGCTATAAGTATAACTGACCTTGTATACCCAAGACCACGCGCTCCTGTCGATCAGTATATAGCGCGAAGGTCTGAGCATGAGAAAAATTTCAAATGTTAAATTGTTTTAAGCTGAAAACGATGTTTTTATGAAAGCTTATTTAATCTTGTAAGAAATTTAATCTTTTACATCTTTTTGCCTATCAATATGAAAAGAACGGTTTAATTATGTTGAATTACTCAATAATTAATGAAACACCTATAAAAAATCAATAAAATATACAAAATCCCGCCCGAAGAATGTTGGCCGTAGAGTCTAAAAAATTGTGTTCAATAGTTCATCGATGGCAGAAGCACTATGTAAGTAAGGCGGAAAGAGGGAAAGAATAGATTAAATATTAATCACAGATAGATAGATAGAAACTTTATTTATACACGCTGCCCCGTCAACCGAAATCCACGGGGGGCGTGTGCAAAAATAGAAAAATGTTACTTGGAGATATTAAATTACTTAAGTTTAAAAAGGTAGAATATTAAATATATTATTTACATGATAAGAAGGTTATTAGAATATTTACAGTTACATCAATTTACTCTATGTCAATTTTGTGAGCAGCGATTTTATTTCTAAAGGATGAAAGAGTTTCGCTTTCCCTAATTTCCTTTGGAATAGAATTCCAAAGGTGTGCTCCGTCATACATGAAACTATTTTTCATGTTGTTAGTACGCGGTTTTGGTAAACTAAGACCGCTTGAAATGTCACGAAGGTTGTAGTTTGTTTTCTCACATTTGTATGAAAAAAGATTGGTGAGTGATTTAGGACCCATTTTATTTAATACTTTGTACATCATTTTTGCCTTAGCTTTCTTCCTTTCAGTTTTGAGTGGCTCCCAGCCCAATGCACGTAGAGCAATGGAAGGATTTACGTCATTACTCATGTTCAAGATAATTCTAGCGGCTCTATTTTGAAGTTTTTTGGGCTGTTTTGATTGTGATTCACCAAACACATCCCATACTAGTAGCATACAAAATAGGGGTTCTGGCGCGGGTGGTGTGGGTGGTGCACTAAGCACCACCCATGACGTCATCACAATATCAATCATAGCATGTCAATTGCACGCGCTTGTAATGTATTTAAAAAGTGTGGACCAATGATTACTAGCACTTTAAGAAAACTTTTAAAGTTTAATACTTTCCTAATATTTATCCTCACATATATTCCTTCTAACCAGCTGGGTGAATTTTAACACGTCCCCGATATATATTCTACCAAAGTTGCTGTAATGCTTGTGGGACGTAGATATTATACGCATGCGCAGTGAGAATTGTGTTACGAAAATTCCTGACTTGTAGGAGTTTGCAAAGATTCCGGTAGGGGAATTCTGCAGAGAATATCCCGGTTTATTCAGACTATTCCCCGAAATCATAAATGACAATAGAAGTAGAGTATACAAGGTGTATTTGAATTCATCGTGTTACAAGGTTTTATTAGATTATCTTAGAATGTCCACTCCTTTAACGCCATCCTTGGTTTTCCGTGGGGATGTATTCACCGTGTTTAAGACTGCTAAACCGAAGTTAAAATCAGTGTCAACGCCGTTGTTATGGTCGATATTTGCATATTACAGAGTCATTAAAAAGTGATTAACCCGCCCACCCCGTGTTGATGTATACATTTTTTTTATTTCACCCAGCGAGCTTGGGTCAGGAAAAAAAACTAAAGAACAGAGAGTTATTACAGACTATATGCAAGATATATTGAAATTTTGTCGTTTGTGACTCTCTAAAACGTATACCGCCAAAGTTATTAACAATCATTAATGGGATTACAAGCAAAATGTTAATCTCTTAAGTGTTTATTATGGATAAATAGGGATTATCTAGTAACTTAAAATCGGGCGCGTGGCTCGGCGGGCATAAATTTGCACAAGATTTTAGTTTTAAGATACATTTATTTCTTCAAAACGTTTTACAGAGTTATGCTTCTAATATATATCGTCACTTGTCTCAGATGTTTCACTATCCGTATGTTTATCCAGATGTTTCACTATTGTATGCTATCGTAAGATACTATATGATATCCTAAGATACTGTATGATATCCTAAGATGCTGATATCCTAAGATACTGAACGATATCCTAAGATATTAATATCCCAAGATACTGATATCCTAAGATACTGAACGATATCCTACGATATTGATATCCTAAGATACTGATATCCTAAGATATTGATATATGTATTGTTGCTTTATAAAGCTTCTGTAAAGCTTCTGTAAAGCTTCTGTGAAGCTTCTGTAAAGCTTCTGTGAAGCTTCTGTAAAGCTTCTGTGAAGCTTCTGTGAAGCTTCTGTAAAGCTTCTGTAAAGCTTCTGTGAAGCTTCTGTGAAGCTTCTGTAAAGCTTCTGTGAAGCTTCTGTGAAGCTTCTGTATGTGTTTGAAAGAAAACAAGTTCTGTACTTGGCGCAAACGATCACTTATATATCGAAGACCAGACTTGTTACAGAGAGGACAGTCCCTTTTGTGCTTAAGTTCAATCATAAATGACCGAGAATAAATGGTTTGAAAACTTTTATATTTTTACGACGACATATGGGTGTGATGTAGGGTGGATGTAGAGTCGATGTAGGGTCGATTTATGATTCAACGATTCAATCTCATGATTCAATGATTCATTATACGATTCATTGATTCAATCTTATGATTCAATGATTCAATCTTATGATTCACTCTATGATTCAATGATTCAATGTTATGATTCAATGATTCAATGTTATGATTCAATGATTCAATCTTATGATTCAATGATTCACTCTATGATTCCATTATTCAATCTTATGATTCAACGATTCAATCTTATGATTCAATTATTCACTCTATGATTCATTGATTCAATCTTATGATTCAATGATTCAATCTTATGATTCAACAATTCAATCTTACGATTCAATCTTATGATACAATGATTCACAGAGAAGTAGAGACTCCTTAGGCTCGGAGTTGAGCTCTTTAGGTTCGGGGCAGCTCCATAGGGTCTTAGCCGAGCTCCCTAGGCTCCGAGATGGCGTAACGAGCTGCCTCCGAACCTAAGGAGCTCGGCTCCAAGCCTAAGGAGTCTCTACTCCTCTGTGAATCATTGTATCATAAGATTGAATCGTAAGATTGAATTGTTGAATCATAAGATTGAATCATTGAATCATAAGATTGAATCAATGAATTATAGAGTGAATAATTGAATCATAAGATTGAATCGTTGAATCATAAGATTGAATAATGGAATCATAGAGTGAATCATTGAATCATAAGATTGAATCATTGAATCATAACATTGAATCATTGAATCATAACATTGAATCATTGAATCATAGAGTGAATCATAAGATTGAATCATTGAATCATAAGATTGAATCAATGAATCATATAATGAATCATTGAATCATGAGATTGAATCATTGAATCATAAATCGACCCTACATCGACTCTACATCGACCCTACATCACACCCATATGTCGTCGTAAAAATATAAAAGTTTTCAAACCATTTATTCTCGGTCATTTATGATTGAACTTAAGCACAAAAGGGACTGTCCTCTCTGTAACAAGTCTGGTCTTCGATATATAAGTGATCGTTTGCGCCAAGTACAGAACTTGTTTTCTTTCAAACACATACAGAAGCTTCACAGAAGCTTCACAGAAGCTTTACAGAAGCTTCACAGAAGCTTCACAGAAGCTTTACAGAAGCTTCACAGAAGCTTTACAGAAGCTTCACAGAAGCTTCACAGAAGCTTTACAGAAGCTTCACAGAAGCTTTACAGAAGCTTTACAGAAGCTCTTCCTGAAAGCAACAATACATA